CATACTATCTTTATTGTATTATAATCATTACAATTACTAATGTTACTGCTTCTGCTTTGCTTCCGTGCTGCTTCTGTTCAATTTTAATATAAATATGTAGGCAGTGTTTGACCGATACTGCTTTTTTAAACCACAAACAGTTCGTCACAATGACTACAAGCAGACCTGCTATTCTATAACATACCTTCAAAATATAAAAAAGTCACAGTATGTTGAATGAATTCGAGCGACAAAACAGTCTTATCTCTCTTAGTGCAAGGATTTTGACTGTTAATTTTCCTTATAAACCGTAAATCAAAAAGAAAATATATTTATCCCCAGAAACAAGTGACTATTTCCTTTTAATATTTTCAAAACCACATTTGGCGCCATCTTTATTTCGTCATCAGTTTATCCTAATTCATCTTCTAATGAAAATGTGTAATGAAAAGAAAAAAGTAGAGAGAGAAGAAGAAGAAGAAGGAGAATAAGGAGAAGAAGGAGGAGAATAACGAAAAGGAGAAGGAGGAGGAGAAGAAGAAAGAGGAGAAAGAGAATCAGAAGGAGGAGAATGAAAAGCAAAAGGAAAATAAGAAGAAAGAGGAGAAGGAAAATGAGGAGGAGGAGGAGAAGGAAAAAAAAAGGAAGAGGAGGAGAGGAAGGAGAAGGAGAAGGAGAAGGAAAAGGAGAAGGAGGAGAAGGAGAATAAGGAGGAGGAGAAGGAAAAGAAGAAGGAGAAAGAGATGAAGAAGAGGGAGAAAAAAAAGGAAAAAAAAAGAGAAGAAAAAGAAACCGGAGAAGAAAAAAAGAATGAGGAGAGAAGAAAATTGAAAAGAAGGCGGATGAAAAAAAAGAAAAAGAAACAGAAAGAAAACCAAAGAGATATAGATATTCCTCCCCCCCCCTCCCCGCTCCCCAAGAAAAAAAAAATAATTGAAACCGCACTTTGGTCATCACTTCAAAACTCACTTCACATTTTGTTGAAAAAAGAGTAAAAACAAATCTTTCCGAAAGTAAATAAGGAGAGAAATATAAACACATCACAATTACAATCCTCTCTCTTCTCCCCTTCCTCCCCCTCCCGAAAAAAAAAACGAAAAATAATCCCTCAAAACATAGAGAAATAAGAAAATTATGATAATGATAAAGAAATGATAAAAAGATGATAATAATTATGATATTTACAAAGAAACAAACAACCCACCAAGAAAAAATAAAAATAAAAATAAATAAACATAAATTTAGTAAAACGAATAAGTATTTGGATAATAAAACAATAATGACAAAGAAAAGATAAAGTAAAATAAGTAAAGAAACCAAAACTAAACCAATAATGACAATAAAGACAAAATCAAGACCTGAAATCCCCTCCACCCCCCTACCGCCCCCTCCACCCCCCTACCGCCCCCTCCACCCCCCTACCGCCCCCTCCACCCCCCTACCGCCCCCTCCACCCCCCTACCGCCCCTCCACCCCCCCACGCAGGTCCGGCGAACTCAATAAGCCAAAGATACGTTTATCATCAGTCCGGCGTAATCCACTTGGTTGCCACTTCGCCCCGGGCCGAGTCCTGGGGTTAGGGGGGGAGGGGGGGAGGGAGAGGGGAGAGGGGGAGAGTGGGAGGGGAGGAGGAAATGGGGCAAGGGGGGAGGGGAGGGAAGGGGTTGAGGGGAGGAGGGTTGAGGGAGGGTTTGACGGGAAGAGGGTGGGAAAAGGGGGAAAAGGGGAGGGGGGAGAAAGGGGAAGAGGGTGATAGGGAGGAGAGGAGAGAGAGGGAGAGGAGAGAGAGGAGAGGAGGGAGAAGAGGGAAGAGGTAGGGGGATCTGGGGGAAGGTAGGGATTGCGGGGAGGGGGAGGGAATAGAGGGGGTGGGAAAAGGGGGAGGGAGATGGATAGAAGATAGAGGATAGAAGAGAGGGGAAAGAGAGAAAAGGAGAGAGAAGAAAAGAGAAAAGGAGAGAGAAGAAGTAAGAGATTAAAAAAAAAAGATAAGTAGACAAAAAAAGAGAATAGAATGAGGAAGAGCGAAAAGGAGAGGAGGATAGACAGGAGGATAGAGGGAGGAGGACGGGGCTAGTCGCGCAAGGGCCAGCCGGGATAGTTGGATTAATGGCGCAGGAAATGCAATGAGGTTTTGGTCGGGATGAGAGGCCCTGTGGGGGGGGGGGGGGCGCTCTTCGTTTGTTTGTTGCTTGTTTGTGTGGTTGTTATTTTGTTTTTATTGGTATTTTGTTGTTGTTGTTTTTGCTTGTTTGTGTGGTTATATTGTTATTTTGTTTTATTGGTATTTTGTTGTTGATGTTTTTTGTTGTTGTTTTTATTAATTTATTTTGGTATTTTTTGTTGTTGTTGTTGTTATTGTTGTTGTTATTGTTGTTATTATTTCTTTCTTTTCTTTTTCTGTTTCTTACTCTTTTCTGTCTTTCTCTAACTGTCTCTGTGTATTGTCGTTATTATTGTTATTATTTCTTTCTTCTTTTTCTTCTCTGTTTCTTACTCTTTTCTGTCTTTCTCTAACTGTCTCTGTGTATTGTTGTTATTATTGTTATTATTTCTTTCTTCATTTCTTTCTCTGTTTCTTTATTCATTTGTATTTTTTGTTGTTGTTCTTATCATTATCATTATTATTGTTATTATTTCTTTCTTCATTTCTTTCTCTGTTTCTTTATTCATTTGTATTTTGTTGTTGTTGTTATTATTATTATTGTTGTTATTTTATTATTTTCTTTCTCTGTTTCTTTATTCATTTGTATTTTTGTTGTTGTTCTTCTTATTATCATTATTATTGTTACTATCTCTTTCTTCTTTTCTTTCTCTGGTTTTCTGCTCTTTTCTGTCTCTGTCTTTTCTCAACTGTCTCTGTGTTTCCCTTCCCTTCCCTCCTCCCCCTCTATCTGGCCCTTCCTTCCCTCTCTCTGTCTCACCTCTCCCCCCTCCTTTCCTCCATCTCTCTCCCTCCCTCCCTCCCTCTCTCTCTCCTTTCATATCTCCCTTTCTCTCGTCCCTCACTCCCTCTCTTCCCCTCCTTTCCATTCCTTCTGTCCCTCACCCCCCTCTCCCTTATCCTTCCATCCTTCACCCGACTCCCTCGTACCATCTCTCCCTTCTTTTTCTTCCTTCCCTCACTCCCCTCTTTTTCCCTTTCCCTCCCTCACTCCTTCCCTCCCTCGTTCCTACTCTTTCCCTCTCTTACCCTATTCCTCCCCTCCCCTCCCCTCCCTCTCCTCCTTCCCTTTCCCACCCTCTCCTCCCTCCCCTCCCCCTCCTTTCCCTCCCTCTCCCTTCATCCCACCCTCCCTCTTTCCCTCCATCCTTCTCCTTCCCTCTTCACCTCCCTCTCCCCCATCTCCTCCTCTCCTCCCCCCCTTTCCCCCCATCTCCATCTCGTCCCTCTCCTTCCCCTCCCCCTCCTCTCCCTCCTGCCCTCTCCCTCCCTTCTCCACATTCCCTCTCCTTACTCCCTTTCCTCCCTCCTCTCCTTCCCCTCTCCCTCCCTCTCCCTCCCTCTCCCCCCTCCCACCCTCCCTCCTTTCCCTCCACTCCCTCCGCCGATCAGCTCGAGGCGCGTCCCATCACACACGAGATCAAGGGAGACCCGGACCTGTGGCCGAGAGCGAGGCAGACCAAAACTAATTTACCCCGTGATCCTTAGGGAGGAGGAGGAGGAGGAGGAGGAGGAGGAGGAGGAGGAGGAGGAGAGGAGGAGGAGGAGGAGGGAGGGGAGGAGAGAGGGAGGAGAGGAGGAGGTGGTGGTGGGAGGGAGGAGGAGGAGGAGTGGAGGAGGAGGAGGTGGAGGAGGAGGTGGAGGAGGAGGTGGTGTGGTGGTGGAGGGGGAGGAGGAGGAGGAGGAGGAGGAGGAGGAGGAGGAGGAGGAGGAGGTGGAGGAGGAGGAGGAGGTGGAGGAGGAGGAGGTGTGGAGGAGGAGGAGGAGGAGGAGGAGGGAGGAGGAGGGGAGGAGGGAGAGAGGAGGAGGAGGAGGGGAGAAGGAGGAGGAGGTGGAGGTGGAGGAGGTGGTGGTGGAGGTGGTGGAGGAGTGAGGAGGAGAGAGGAGGAGGAGGTGGTGGTGGAGGTGGTGGGAGGAGGGGAGGAGGAGGAGGAGGAAGGAGGAGGAGGAGGAGGAGGAGGAGGTGGAGGAGGAGGAGGAGGAGGAGGAGGAGGAGGAGGAGGAGGGGGAGGGGAGGTGGAGGAGGAGG